AGGAAGTGGATATGAGTACAGGCGGAAGATACCCAAGATCTTCCTCTATAAGCAGGAGCCGGCTGCCGCCATTCACCTTCATGTACACCAAAATATGAAGTCATCTCCAGTCGCGGCCTGAGTGGAGAACGCCTTTGGAATTCACGTGGCCTCCAAACAGCTGCGGAACTTCTTGAATGGAATCACCCATGGATAGCTACCTGGAGACCAGTACTCTTGATCTGCAAGACCTCAAACATCGAGCAGCTCCGGCAACGTCGCTACGGTCCAGGACATCATCTCCACCCCATTCACCAAGCGCGCGGTTATGTCGTTGGAACTCGCTGGCCGCACCTGAATGCAATGAACCGGGGTATTTTCTTCGTGCCCCAGACTGAGGGTGCGCGCTGGTGGCTACATCGAGCAACTCGAGGAGAATATCCCATCGTCGCCCGTACCTTCTTGGAGACCTTGTGCTGCTACAGGTTTGGGTGCCACCACATGGAATCGAAGGGTTTTGGAAAAACTCCCGCCTACTTCGAATGGAAGGGCGTTTCGTACCTGATGAAGATGTAATATTGAAATATGTCCCCTGACCTGAACCCACTCAATTATCTAGTTCGGGCGGAGCTCAACAGGGTGGTCTACACTGGCGAAAATCAAAGCATCATCGCTCAACTGCGGCACCGGCACTGACTTTCGCAGCGGCCTGAATCTCTCGATAGCGCTCCTCTCCCAGATGCGTAGCGAGTATCATCTATAGTATTTAATGTGCTCTTTAATATGGTAAAAATGTCCGATAAAAATTTAATAAAGTGTAACTTATAGCGCCTTGAAAGTCATGGAGGCAAAATGACTTTTTTTTGGCCCCCCCCCTGTATATGGGTACACATATGCATATCCGTATCTTCGGTAGCGGTGATTGGCAAGATGCGTACGGGAAACACGTCCGAAATGGATTTACAAGTCACTATGAACGGAGGCTTTTTCTTCGCAGGATTTTGACCGTTTTTACTATACTCCGTTTTTTTTTTCGCCATTTCCCACTATACAGCCCCTACATACAGTAGGAAACCAATCGTGCCAGCTGCCTTTGAAATCAGAAAGATGAGCCACCATGGAGTTTTCCATTCCGTTATGGTGTAATATGGGAGAGTCCCCCCTTCTCTCGGGTGCACATCGAGAATTTTACCGGCGTCCATCGCCGCACTATGCTGCGCGAACGACGCGCAAGTGTCTTGCTACTCCTTTCGGGCAGGCACATTTGTTTCGGGAATCCCCAACAGAGGTCGTATTTGGCAGCCAGGAGAGGAGAGGGGTCGTATTTGGGCTGAGAAAAATTTATTTTGATAGCTGATTTTTCTCGCGTGCATTGCCTGTTGAAAAATAGGGGATGGAAGGGTCGTACTCGAGCGCACAGCATCGTTGGTGAAACAACAAGGGGAAGGTCGTACTTTTGCTTGGGGGAGGGGGGTCATATTCGTATTTGTTGGAGACAAATTTATTTTGATAGTTGATTTTATTGATTTTATCTTGTGGAAAAGTGGGGGTCGCGGTCGTATAAATATTTTGTTTTATATGCATTATATGCGCTTGCACACCCGCCGATATACGTTGCATAATTATTGTATACGCCCCACCCCTCGACAACTTCTTCGCCGACTATATACTTATGGCTCGCGACTGTGCGAAAGAGGTGTCGAAGGGTGGGGGTGGTGGTTCCGTACTCTCACCGACAATCTTCGCCTATCCTCATGCTGTACCCTGTCCATACTTGCTCATTGTTGGCTGAGAGTAGGTCGTACTTACTTTCTGGCCTTTCTAGGAGTGGTGGGAGTGGTGGTTGACTTCTCGTGATTTTCCTGTTTCATGCGTACTACACTAAACCCCACCGGACCCCCTGTTCCTCCTCGACGGCTCGATTCGACGAGGAGGAACAGGGGGGCCCGGAGGGGGGGGGTTACGGGCTCGACTAAAATCCCCAACCAATGATGTGCCCTGCTTTCGAAAGACTTGCCCTGGTCAGAAGAACAGCGCTGTGATGAGTCAGCCAGGTCGAGACGTATTTAACCTTTCATTGATTATACGATTCCCTGTTTTTCGCTTTTGAATCGGTATGATTTTGCTACCTTTGGGAATCTTCTGAGCTCGCAGACATTCAGTGAATGCTTGAGCTCCACTAGGCATTGAGAAAAATCCAGAAAGGTTCCCCACTTCTTTTGGCTTATCAGAGCAGGGCCAAAGTGGAGAATCAGAAAACAGGGGACTTTTCCCTAATCAACTCTCATCTTGGGCGATGTTGACATAGGTCGGTTCGTAGTTTCCAGAAGTTCTCCGATTCTTCGCTGGCGCAGTGTACGAACGCGACCTTATCACTGATTGTTATGAACTGTGCGCTCAGCACTTTTTCCTTTTGATTTTTCCGGCTCAATTCACTTCCACTGAACGCGAAACAGGTTGCGTCCAGCCTTTGTCTAAAGTTCTGGTTTGCTTCCCTCAACAGTGTGCCGTACAGGGCGTTCATATCTTTGGGTTCACTATTCTTTTGATACCGAGAGAGAAAAAGCACAGTTTCGTCATTGGCAAAATAACATCCCTGCGAAAACAAAGGGGACGAATAAAACCACGGATTTCCTGAAAGCAATAGAGGGGTGGCGTCAGCTGTGTGCGCAGAAGCTGCAACTACAGACATTGGCGCGGCATTCAAATTTTTCGTGATATTCGTAATTAATCGCCGGCAATGTTGTCTTGTTTACCTTCTATACTTCTTCTGCGATAGAATCTATTTCGTGCAAATCTTATGGGTTTCGATATGAATTTTGATGAGTTTAGTGGTGATCTGGGAAATTGAGACTTCACTGGGGGTTCAGAAAACTTGGTTGGCTTCGGTAAAATTCTGTGTGTTTGGCCTTTAATCACTTTCAAAATGTTTCTATTTCAATAAACTACTCGTGCGTTGGTAAATATGGTGGCTTTTTTAATTCCAGCCAACGTGCCGGCTTCAGGTCAACTTTTGACATCCTTGTAATCCAGTCGCTAATTATTTTGGTTCAGCGGTCATGATCAAATCTCACAGGGACTCCGTTCCATTGGGTTTCGAAACCTTTATGAATACGGCTGCGTCACTGATCTCCGATCGTTGACGGGGTGTAGAACTTTTTCTGGTGCGTAGTGGGACGCTCAGCGCCGCTTCTATGATAGCGCACTAAACCACGCTGACTGCATATTCATGTTATCGGCCAATCGCTTATCAGAGCCGTAATGGCTCCTAGTTAGAGGAGGGAAAAGGGGTGAGCTTTGCCTTATGGACTGAGCCGCCGCAACAGTTGAATTACAGGCAATATTCCGGTATCGGTCTGCACTCCAATACTTGGGCCACGTTCACCGTTTGCATCAGAGTTTTGAGCGTACAGCAGCGTTTTGGCCGACTAAGAAAGATATCGCCAGCGTTCTGAGCGTTCTTCGGGCAGTCGATGAAAACGCTGTTGTGCTCAAAACGCTCAGTCGATATCTGTACTTTCCTAATCCCTCAGAACGCTGCCGCACGCTTAACGTGACGCAAAGTATGAACGCAGGCGCAAGTTGAAGTGTGCTAATGGTCAATGAACGTAATTACTAATGATCTCCCCTGTTCACAGCTCTTTTTTTATTTTTGTGACAGTGTTCAATGTATAGAGTGTTTAGGAGGACTTTTGCGTAAGACCAGAAGAAGGCCGACCAGCCCCGTCTGGCAAATCTGCGGCTACCAAAAAAAAAGGCTTCACGTTTCATGAGAAATGTTCACCTACCCCCATAGTTTTCCCCGTTCCTCCTACTTTAATGGCATATCATGAGGTTATATTACGTCATGGTATATCGTAACTGGTCTAATTAGCATCAGTGAACCATGAACCCGTAGTAATGAGCGTCAATGAATCATGGAACTTCATCTAATATCATCATTTATTCTTGGCAAATCTGGGCTACACAAAAGGCTTTCACGTTTCATGAGAAATGTTCGCCTACCCCCATAGTTTTCCCCGTTCCTCCTACTTTAATGGCATATCATGAGGTTATATTACGTCATGGTATATCGTAACTGGTCTAATTAGCATCAGTGAACCATGAACCCGTAGTAATGAGCGTCAATGAATCATGGAACTTCATCTAATATCATCATTTATCCATAATTGTGCGTGAAACACAGCTTACAAGGAAGGAAATATAGGGGCCGAGTGAGCTCAGCGCATGATAGTTTCAAACTGTACACATGGGTCACACTATGTGATCAGTGCGTCAGACTTATGGTCAGGTGAGCTCTTCCCCCTGTGCAGTGTCCCTAGCGTCTTCAGCAATCGGTCAGCCCCCTTAAAACCCCACGTCGTTCCTCAGCCGCCTTAGTATGACTCCTCCTCCATGAATCAGCAGGCGTTCATGAAATGTCGCCGATAAGCTCAGCTTAATATCGATTATTTCTCAGCTCTTGCATTAATTGCTGGCTCGAAATGTATGCTTGTGAGTTTTCGATAAAACCGTCCTATATATTCTGCATGGCGAATGCCATTTTCACATTTCTCTTTTTCAGGGATGCCACCAAAGCGTGTGGCCAAAGGCAAATTGCATCAGCTGGCTGTTGAACTACCATTTAAGACAATTATCTCAGACTTGAGCACGAAGAAGCAGTATTGTGTCGGACGGCAGTTCGCAACTGGAGGATTTGGGCGCATTTACACCTGTAATGAGGTGAAGGAGTATTGTTTTCTCCTTTACACTGTTTGCTTACATTCCATGTTTGTTTCATGAAACTGCGTGAGATGGGTGTAAGGATGGAAAAAGCCCGTCCCCGGCTCTCTACCAGTAATCTGTGCGGATGGGCTCATTCCACGCCTCCAGACACCGTGTCTACTGTTTGCGGCGATATAAATTACACTCTACTTCGCTGCGGACGGTTGGGCGTGTCAGCCAGTATGAGTGTGTCACCCTCTTTGAGCTGTTCTCTGCCTTCTTGTTGAAACGGGCATGCGACAAAAAGCAGTAGAAAACAAGTAATACGAAAGGTATGATACAGTATTGTCATTTGCTCGCTTGAACAACTCGTGGAGAACGAGTTTGGCACCGCGCCAAACGCAGCCGCACGAACACGCCCAACCGTCCGCAATGAACTACACTATACTTCCTTGTTGTCTAGTCACAGAAATTCAAATTATTGTTTCAAATTTTGGGAAAGTATTCGCTCTTGAACCCCTTCTTTCAATTTGATTTCGTATTCATATGAATAATTCGGCTGTCGAATCCATTCGAAAGCGTTCATACTTTGCGAATGTGACTGATACGTTCTGCCATCTGGGCGAATGTGAGGCTACAAAGGGTTGCGTGGGAATCAGACTGTGCGCATCAGTGAATCATCTTTCCGGTCGCGCATTCTCAAGAATCGCGGCTTCCTCGAGTCATGGTTGCGCCGAATAGCGCTAGTTCTCCTGGATTGGACAGATGGGCATGTATGCTCTTTTTGGCATTAGTGTCATTGGAGTAGAGAGGGGGGAATGGGGAACCACTCTTGTATCCCTTACCAGCTTATGTTAAGACGACCAGATTTGTAAAATGAGAGTCTTGCAGGGAAGAGTTAGGTTGTGCTGAGCCGAAGCCTTCGTTAGGGGAAGGGACACAAACGCTGCGCTGACGCTGGTTTCCTCCAACTGTGCTAGCGCTTGGCGCCCTTTCTTTTCATGCCTCCTTCGAAATGCGATTATTTGTAGAATTTTCTCTATATTTGCAAGGCATGAACATAGCCTTGAACGGCTCATACTTTACGTCAGCGTTTTGAGCGTTTCATGGTTAGCTTTGAGCGCTTCTTGGGCAGCCACTGGAAACGCTGGCGTACGTTTAAACGCTGGACGTATGTCTATGCTTTCGTAATAGCTCAAAACGCTGATGTACCCTTAAAACACTGCAGTACGCTCTAAAATGCTGACGACAAGTATGAACGCTGTCTGAAGAATGATCAGCGACGAAGGTTGCGTCGCACTAACCTAAACAGCTAAGCTTAAGCTGTTCTGATGGCTGTTCGAGGCTCCTAAGTTTGCGGTAACTCCTTCGTTTATTGATGTCTGCTTCTGTTCAAGGACTTCAATCAGATAGTTGCTGAAAAGTATTCAAAACATCAATATACATGACGATTTTTCTTTCTTCAGATATTATGAAACAGAGGGCATACTTGTATATTTTTCTAAATTTTTGTAGGTAATCTATTTATATGAACTAAGGTGGTAAATATATGCTTTGAACGCTTGCAAAACTGTTATTCGCTTCAGGTCGGCTCGAAGACGGAACTTGTCGTCAAAGTTGAGCCGGCTGGTAATGGCCCATTGTTCACTGAGTTGAATGTTTTCCTACGGATATTCAAACCGGACCAGATTGCACAGTTTATGCGTGATAGAAGTGAGTCTTCATTCATTATATCTGCTCACTCTACGGCATTTCCTGCTATCATTTCCAACTGCTTGCTTTTTACTAGTCTCTTTTACATTGGCTTCTTTGCCTTATTTGGGGAGAAGTACGCTGGTAAGATAACATACCTAGGAGCCATTTTTATTTTGCTGGTTGCTGGTCGTGTAGCGATGCTGGGTTGTGCTCCTAGGTTTGAACCATAGGCTGCGTTCATACTTTGCGGCAGCATCCACGAGCGGCTAGGAAAGTGTGGATATCGATTTAACGAACCAGCGATCAGGAAAGTGGATATCGATGTGGCAAACGCCACCGTCTACCAACGTGCGCCAGCCATGGAAGTAGGAGGGAAGAGACAGCTGGATTAAGGCGTCGTGAAATAGTAGCGTGCAACAGCACACTACTGCTACACAATGCCGTACTCCTGAGCTGGTGGGTGTTGGCGGACACTGGAGGATGAGATACGCTAGATCGATATCTATACTTTCTTAGCTGACGCTGACGGACGCTCGAAACGCTGATGGAAGCCAAAGTACGAATGCAGCCATACAGGGCGAAGCTTTTACCTCAACGTGATATGTGTTCACAACGATTTTTGCGAATCACGGCTTAAACCTGAATACTTCAGAGCTGAAACGTTTGGGAGTACCAAAGATGATCTCTGGTGGTATTCATCAGCATGGCGACGACAAATTGCGATTTCTGGTGATACCGAAATATGCAGTCTCACTGGAAGAGATCCGAGTGAAAAGAAAAACATTCACACAGAACGAAGTTTGGACGATTGCACGCTGTACGATGGAGAGTCTTGAATACATACACTCGAAGGTAACTCAGAATTTTTAGCTGAACTCCCGTTCTCAGATTAGCAAGATCAAACTGTTCTCAGATGTATACTAAGAGAACAGTTTGATCTTGCTAATGCTTACAGTTTGGTATAGTTGTTAGCCTTCTTGCCGCCGTTACCATTATCTTACATTAAAGCTCAGAGTAGCTCTATTCAGAATTACACTCACGCTGACATAAAAGCTGCTAACATTTTGCTGGAGAAAGCAGACGACTTTTCAACAAGCGGTGGGAATCTTGCACAGTAGTTTCGATTCTTTTAATTAAATCTCTTAATTAGATACAGGCGTTTTCTCTCAAAGGTTTCCGTTTCCTCAGTGTTGGGTCTTGTTGAAGAGCCATTTTCAGTGCTTGTCGATTTTGGACTTGCCCGTATGTCTAGCAGCAACGAAGACAAGCCGGACAAAAAGAGAGGTGAGAGTCGGATCAGTATATAATTGTGGATGAGGCTGCGTTCATAAGGCGTCAGCGTACAGCAGCGTTCCGAGCGTACGCCAACGCCTGCGACTAGGAACGTATAGATATCGATCCAGCAAATGCCAGCGTCCACCAGCGACTAGAATAGTATAGATATCGATCTAGCGAACGGCTACGTATGCCAACGTACGGCAGCGTTTTCGTGGGCAGTTTTGCTCGAGCTCAGACTTCCCGCGAAGACGCTGGCTTTCGCTAGATCGATATCCATACTTCCCAGTCGCTGGCGTACGCTGGCGCTTTCCAGATCGATATCTATACGTTCCTAGTCGGCAGTCTAGCGCTGCCGTACGCTGGCGCAAAGTATGGAAGCAGCCTAACGGTTCCGTACACAGAGGAATACTGCCATGTATTAGACCATGGTCTTGTAGGTCTCTAATTATTTTTCTATGTTTTATATCCTTCTCTCTATGACTTTACTCATAATTTAGCGCATAACGGTACTGCCGTTTTCACCTCATGTGATGCTCACAGGGGCTGCCATCCATCGTATCGTGAGATTTCGGAAATACCTTGCCTATAACATGCGTATTACATGGCTAAGTGGTTTCCCTGCGTGGGAGGTAGGTGAGAGTCATGGTTCGAAGACCCAATAATCACAAATTAAGGCTTAATTTTTAGGCTTACGAGTCGAATCCTGACAAAGTATATCAGATGAAGGAAGCGTTTCTGAAGGGTTTACCATCAAGTTTGAAAGAGCTCCTTAAGGTACTGTTTTTAGGCTTTTACTGACATACTTGTTTTTGGGCTTTTACTGACAAAGTTCTTTTTGCTGGCTGAGTTCTGCTGTAAGATTATTTCGTCATGATTTCAGTTCGACTCATATTTGTGGGAATGACTTGTTTCAGAACAGCCCGGATAGTATTGCTCCACTGAAAGAACTCTTTGCTATTTCCCAGAGAACCGGGTACAGCCCGCAATAACACCGGTACGCAGACCAGCTGGACTTCACAAAGCTTTACAAGGTGAGTTCTGCGAAACTTTTCGCCAAATCTCCCATACTTTTGCAATGTTTATTCATTTCATTCAAAGGCCTATAAAATAGTACGAGAGCATTACATTGAATTTTTGGAAGGGAAGGGTTGAGTGATTTGGTAGTGAAGATTAAAGCAGCAGAAGTCAACAACTCTTGAAGGAAAAGCCTATCTCTTTGCATTTGATTCAGAACGATTACTGGGAGAAGCATTGAGGGAGCTTCAAGACTGTGTCAGAGCTTCTTCCCAAAAGCATTTGCTGTGGACGCGTTTCGAAGTAAAAGGGCGTGAGAAGAAGCGTGATTTGAACTCTTAGAATATCTGCCACACACTTTCAAGTTCTAACTGGCACGATTTATTTCGCGGTGCTCTTTTTACGCGCAAGAGGGTTGTACGTCTCAGCTAGTCGTTCGAACACTATCGCTCGTTATCGATAAGCTTGCGTAATACAACTCGGTGGATGAGCACTGCTTTCAGATCGGTCTTTTACCGATTGATAAAGTCGTCAATCGAGACAAAGCGGCGAAACGCTAACATTAGTGTAAGTCTCTGATGAGTGCAGTATAGGTGAGAATCATCGAATAAGGATTCTGATGCCATCATGAAGGCCGTAGGTCATCGAAAGTGGTGACTATTCCTCGCTGGTGCGTATGCTGCGCGAAGTGCCACTTCGCTGAACCTGTCTTGTCTTCCTGATCCAGTGTTATTTTTTCGATTGGATACTTCGGTAAGCATTCATCCAGGTAACCAAGAGAGGTGAAAATAAAGCTGGTTTTCTGATGGATGAAAAATTACTAAGGTGTCATTTGACATCAGTTCAGTGTCATAGCCGTTCACGAATGCGCTTTGTTGTGTCGGTTCGATCTCAACGGTGTTTGGAACTCGGTCAAACTTTGCTGTTCGCGCTGTAAATGGGGTTGTGGTGCAACGAGCCAGTGGCTTTCCTTACTTTAAATTTTGCGATATGAACGAAATAATTTTCTACTTCCAAAATTTATAGATAGCTGATGATGTATTGAAGCGTTCTGGGCCGTCTCGACCTGGTAAACGTAAAATCAAGATGAAAAGTGTTGAGTCGTGAAATTCCGGCACATCAGCAAAGCGAATAAACTAGCGGTGTGTTCGTTCCTTCATGTGCCCATTTTCGGGTAGGATACTTTTTCTTTTTGGTAGTCGTATTAAATGTTAGATGCAAGATTCTTAATTCGTAGTGAGATGCTGAGTCCAAGCAGGACGTTTTGCCTTTTGAGAAAAGGAGAAGAAACTGGGATTTCTGAAGTTAAGTGCATGAATCGATTATCATCACATAGGTACTTTTCGTTAATTCATAATCTTAATTGCTAGATTCTATGTATTTAGCAACTTCTTCGCAGCATCGGTCCAAGCGAGGCAGAACCAGTGATACACCCAAGGACTCACCACGAAGACACGTTAGATTGAAAAGTGTGTCCAACATACATTCCGTTTAATTAAAGTTGGCTCGTATCAGTAACTAGTAATGCATATGTTTCTGTATTGCATCATTTTCTACGCGGTTCACATTTCTGTATTCTTGATAAATGCACTTTCCCTTTTTGAAGAATGTACGGGGGGGGGGGCTTCCGTGAAAAAAAGACATTAGTGCTCGAGGCATCTGATCAGTAAGAATACGCAGCCCAGGAGACGTGGATGCGAGTACCAGATCGGAATAGCTAAGATGTTCCTCGATAAGCAGAAGCAGGCTCTCGCCCATCACCTCTATGTCCACCAAAATATGAAGCTATTTGTACTCGCAGCCGAACTGAAGAAGGCCTGTGGATTTTACGTCACCTCCAAACAGCTGCGAAGCATCTTTCACCGAGTCACCCATGGAATGGACAGCTACCTGAGGGCTGGCACTCTTGATCTGGAAGACCTCCAACACCGAAGAGCTCCGACAACTCGCCTGCGTGGCAGGATGGGTACCGGAAAGTTGGAATGGCGAAGACGATATTGCCTTCGGACCTCGGACTGAAACGCGTGACAGCTACATCAAATATCTGCCTTTCATGTCGTCGCTGTACCGCCTTGCGAAATTCGTGTGCTACAGGAGGGGAGCCAGCACATGGAATCGAAAAACTCTCGACTACTTGGAATCGAAGGGCGTAAGTACCTGAAGTGGACGGTATATCCAAGTGTATCACCTGACCTGAACCCCCTCGATTACCCGGCTCTGGCGAAGCTCAACAAGGTGGTCTACAGTGGCAGAGAAATCAACGACCTCGCTAAACCCAGGCACCGAATCACGTCGCGCAGAAGAATCTCTCGATGGCGTTCGTATAGAAGGCTGTGGCGGAGCTTCGTGAGCGTGTACAATAGCGTACACAGTAGCGTGTTTTGTTGAATATGGTGGCGAAAATGTCCAATCAAAATTTAATAAAGTGTAACTTATTTGGCCTTGAATGTCAAGGAAAAAATGTCTTTTTTTTGCCCCCCCCCCCCTTAATTGTGGTGGGGGTCCCAGGGTACATTGCTGTCCCAGTTAACAGCCGGGACCGCAACGCGACGAACCTGGTGTGTCATTTCAGCGGCAACTAGACCCGAAATCAGGGTACTGGAACGGTCGAGCTCACCGAGGTAAGGGAGAGAGAGTTCCTTCCAGAATTTCTATAAGAACGAGTACCAGTTCAGGATATTGGATTCGTTACCAAGCCAAGATACCTGTTCCTCCTCATCATCACCACAGCAAACACCCCGTAAGCAGGGTTATTTGCATAGTTTGATTGATTGGATGAATGATCTCTGTAGCAGAATGTTCATTTGGTTAATAGCAGGTTGGTGTTAGGTGGAGAGGCCATTTGAGCTTATTGCTAGGAAGTAAGATTTGCAGAGATTACTTCCGCTTTCCGCTCTTTTTCGGTGAGGAGGATAGTGGAGAGGGATTCTTATCCACTCAAATATTTTTCTAATCACAGCCGCGGTAGTGGATTCTTTAGGTTTCTTAGATTTTCATACCATCGCTTCGATATTTGTGGTTTTTCGATCAATAAGTGCGGCCAGTTCCCTGCTTGAAATCATCGTACTCTGGGTTATTTTTGACCATTTGGAAGTGAAGAGCTTCGCTTCGGCATACCTTGTTAACACGCTACATTTGAGGCCATCTTAGGTGTAAGCGAAAAACGTGGTGATTGCGGTGCTAACCAGTCCTTTTCCAGAAGTGAACGGGCATTCTGTACTTTCATCCAAAATCTTAGAGACATTTTTGGATGCGATTTGTCTATACAGTGACTTGCGCGGGCCGGCCTAATTGTCTATACAGTGACTTGCGCGGGACCGGCCTATGATTACAGTCAGCCTTGTTATTCAGATGTGCTACCACCTGCTACCACTTCACCGGCCCCGCGGATATGGAAGACTTGGTTGGCCTTCGTGGAAGCCAATCCAAGATTTTGACTCCTGGTCGGCGAGCGCTGTCACCAGCGCCACTTCAAGCTACACAAAGTCCCTGGATTGAAAATATGCATAAGTTAATGCCGCTTGGTCAGTGACTTTGTTCTGTGATATTAGTGTAAGGTTGTAAAGATCACGGCTTCTTGGCCAATTGGGCGTGTAGAGAGGGTTACGGCACTTATCGACCGGATATCCACTCGCTTCGAGGGTCCAGAAGTATTTCTCAGCGCATCTAACGATCGAGCGGAGAATGAAAAGGAAAAAGTAAGAGAGAGGGAAGGATGAAGAAAAAAGGAAGAAGAAGGGAGGCTCCGCGGTTGACAGTTATTCTGAGACATGTGGAGCGTGGTCATTTTGGATGTTTGGGAGTTGATTCGTCATACTTCCGCTAAACTATACAGTTCACCGCTCTCGAACTGTCGATTATTGCTGACTGGCTAGGTGGCTATCGATTATTGTGGGATCTGGTCGTATTTATTTATCCAGCTTAGAATACAGCTTACCATCTTCAGAGAAACCAAGCCCATCAGTTCGTGAGCGTGCGCGTGCAAATCGTTTTCCTTCAAGCAGTGCCAGAAAGTCGCCAAGGTCTGTATACTTTCTAAGGAACGAGTTTTCAGTGAGTTCTTAAATTTATTCATACACATCAAGGCAAAAATCTTTTAGATTGGCAGCTGGCGGTATTGTACCCGGATTGTCTGTTCATCGCGCTCCGTGTTCACCGCTGAATGTAAAGCTGAGTCCATCAGTCACGAATGACTCGAATTTTAAGACACCCACAAATGGAGAAGGACCTTCGAAGCGTGAGTTTTTGAGTTCTCTAGCAGAAGTTTTATAATCATAGATCGAGCGAATCACTTTTTCGTAGTTTTTACGACGTTTGCTCAGCAGTAGGCTAACCAGTGCTCCTTCTTAATTCTGGTTTCCCGAACACCCACCGGTTTGTATGTTTGGTTTACCCAGTTTTATGCTGTTTCGACGCCAGCAATTCATGTAGCGACAACGAATGGCTGTTTGAAGGCACGTTTCTTGTACAAAAATGATGAGCTGTGCAGCTCAAACACTTATGACAAGGTAGTACTTGATTCAAGAACGAAGAAAAGAAAGCAAGAAAAATAGAAATGCCCGGTATAGAAGCCCATGATAGACCGTCAACTCTCGGGCAGCGGGTGGGGCCGCCTTCGTTGCGACCGAACCGCGCTCTTTCGTAACGTAGCTGCAATTGCCATAGACCCTATGTGCTTGCGGACAGGACTACTTTATCCAAAGAAGGCGTCTGAACATCAGATGAACGAGAAGGGTGTCCTCAATATCTACTATTAGTGTGGAACTGCGTTACATCAGGAACAACTGGCCTTGCGGTTCACTTCTTTAGGATTAGCGTTGATCGGCTCAGCGCCATGATTATGTCATGTTTTCAGGACCGGCAGCACGCGTCGGATCGGATGTTAAACGAAGTCCAACTAAACTGCGTAAAATACCGGGAATGCAAAACTTTGCTCGCGGTCGACGATCGATAGTGATTGATCAGGTATTTTACGATTCTCGCAACCCCTTCGCTAACAGGTTTATTGCTGATCAGGACACGCCATGCCGTTGGGAGCAATTTTAGAAAGTACTACCCCCTTCAGAACTTCTCAACATTTCTTACTCTGGTTAACCTCTCTTTCCCATCCATCCCATCTGCCATCCTTCTGAATTTTCCCAACGTCCCATCCATTTTCCGGAGCTTGCTGCGAAAATCCCTAACTTTCTCCCCACTTCTTGAAGAAAAACCGACATCGAACGAAAGGGGGTGCTCTGTGTACAAACTCATCGTGCTGGGCCATGCGCGCGGTTTCTTCACGGCACTGCGGCGACGGGCGGGCGAAGGGTGATCGCTTGCGCCTCCGCCACTGTGCTTCAATCAGAAGCCCCTTTTATGCCCCATTATGTGGAAGGAGGAGGAGAGAAAAGAGGATTGAACAAATAGTGAACGGTCATAGGGAGTTAGTGGTAATGGTGAGCAGAGAATACAGAAAAGTCGAGAATCAGAGCGTATTATTTCAGTCAACAGCGGAACTGGCAGAATGATTCCCTTCGAATGGGACGTGACGTTATAGCGTTATAAGGCCACAACCGACAGTTGGCAATTTGCCAAACCTCAGCTTAAACATTCGTGTAAAAGCTGCTTGCTTTCACAATCGAAGGAAACTATGCCGCCAGTTCTGCCATTCACTGAAGTAATTCGTGATAGTCGACTTTTCTGTGATCTCCTACCACTACCACTAACTCACATATGCACCCACTATCTGTTCAATTCCCTTCCTCTCTCTACTTTTCCCTCCTCTTCCTTCCACATAAAAGAGGCTGCTGGATTGGAGCACAGCGCCGGAGACGCGGGCCATCGCCTTTCGCTCCGCCCTGCCGCCGCGGCGCCGTGAAGAAGGCAATCACGCGCATGGGTGAGTTTTTCCCTCCTCCGGGCAGGGGGGCGGAGGAATACGCGTGTATATAGCGAACTTGGAACATAGAAGGACCTCAGAAAAGATCGAACGCTCGCTAAACTTTCTGCAATGCTCTAGGGACAAATTGGAGACCCCCCCCCTAGCGACCCAAATGTCGAAACGGTGAACTGACTGGTAGCGAAAATCTCAATAGAAAAAGGGTAAACCCATGCCGCAAAGGAAGGCA